CATTCGTCAGACCCATGGGCATAACACACCACTCGTATAGACCCCAAGGTGTATGTACTGCTGTCAGCGGAATATCTGCTTCTCGCATCCGGGTTTGAAAAAATGCATTTGTTAAATCAATGATTGAAAAAAATTTGCCAGTGGCTACTAATCTGACCAACGCGTCCACATTAGGCAATGATGAACGGTCCCTCATGGTCAGACTATTCAAGACTCGGTAATCGCATACCCATCTCGGAAGTTCGGTAGGGTCCTTTTTTGGAATAATCAAGCTTGGTGATGCATATTGACTAGTCGAACGCCTGATTCTTCCGGCTTTAAGGTGTTGATCAATCAGCTTACGCCAGGCGTTCCGATGTTTGAGTGGATAATTATATTGCTTCTCTTTGATTGTTGCGTCAGGGTCCTTCAGAACAATCTTGTGACGAATTTTTGAGCTGGCATTCTGCATACGTTCAGGGAAAGATCCATCAAAAAATAGCCCTTCCTCCTCAGCTTCCTCTGAGACCGCTGGTATGTCCACAGGGAATAAATCTTTGAACTCCTCAAGCAACATCTTCTCCAAAACTTCACCTTGCTCTTCTCTTACTAAGTCACTCACAGATCCTGATAAGGATCCCACGGCTTCACGTCTGCTCACTTCTCTCTCCCATCTCTCTTCCTTTTCCACTACCGGTTCGCGGATGCGCGGCACATTCATGATTCTCACTCGCTCTTTCATCTCTTCTAAGGCTCTGAAATCAATTATCTTCATTCCACTCCTTTCACAAACAATCGCACGTTGATTAATAGATACTGAAAATTGAAAGATATTAAAAAAAGGTGTTCCCAGTATGACATCAAACTCTCCCCCCACATCCCCTATCTTGAAGTATGAGCGGTCAAATCGTCTACCCGATGGTTCGTCAATCAAATCGGCGGTAGTGAAATGAGTAAGTATCGGGGCAGGAGAATCTGTTGTCACCGCTAGACTGAGGTGCGTTGGTCGTACCAGCTTCCTTCGTACAAGTTGAAGTCGGTCGGCAGCATCACCTGTCATAAGATTGATTTCAGCGCCAGGGTCAGCTAGTGCTCGTAACCGCTTCCCATTGCACATGAGCTCGAGTATCACACGAGGAGTCTTTTCCGAAGAGACGCACCCTTCAGTCTCACTATTCCCAAGTTCTTCGTCTAAAGCTTGAAGTGCGGCTACAGATGCTTGGTCTAACTCAGGGAATTCTGAGGCCGCCGCCGCGCGCGCGTAAGT